GTGGTTCCCACAAATTGTCTTTCCATTTCCAATCAGTGGAGATTTCCAAAGAGGGAAAGCTGTGATCTGGGGGTATTCCCCAAAATAACAAGTACATTCCAGTTGTTTTTATTGCGTGTAACTTGTATGAAGGTGCCTAAAGTAAAGCTTCATCCAGTTTTAGTTACTTTGTTTAAAAAGGGAGGGAGGTGGCGTTCCAGTTTAAGCCACTTTAAATTCAGTCTTTCACACACACACACAAAAAAGTTGATGGAGCACCTGCTATGTTTCAGGCACCATTCAAGGCAGTGGGGTTATGGCCCTGAGTAAGAGAGGCAAAGTTCTCGCCTACAGACAGACTGGCAGGAAGGCAGAAGAATAAATCAGTACATAATGTAATTGCAGGTAGTGACTTTGTGTTATAAAGCCAAAAGTAAATCAAGGTGAGAGGTTAGAGTGTCTGTTGAGGGCGTGCTTCTTTGCATACAGGTGTGAGGTTTCTGTTTTGCACATGCAACATGGCCCTGGAATGTCAGCTGCAGTGCTGCACTCTGCCTTGTCCTCACCCTGGGACCATCTCGGATGTTGTTACAGAGTAAAAGAGAGGAATTGGCAGGACTAGCACTGTCTCTCTAAGCTTCAGTCCAGAAGTGATACTGTTCACCTCTGGACACATCTCATTGGGAAAAAAAAAAAAAGCAAGTCATAGGATCAAACTGACTTTCAAATGGGAGAGGCTGTACAGTATCACCATGTTCCCTGAATAAGAGAAAACCAAAATACGTGTGATCAGCCCTAATAGCAACACAGTCAAGCATCTCCCCCAGGAGAGGATGATCTGTATTCTTCACTTCCCTTAAACTGGAAGGTAAACTAGCTAGGAGCATAGAATATTTCAAGGTCATATAGCAAAAGTGAAAAAGTGCAAACAGCAAGAGAGGGGTTGGGGTGCTGGTGGTGCTTCTGCACATCCAGTATTTATTGTCAGGATACCAAGACCTTTCTACTTTATGCAGCTACAATTTTTCACGTATAGTTATTTGTGACCCTGTACCCTACAGTGGGCACCAAAGTAGAATCCCAAGCAGTGGTGCCCAGAGGAAGCAGCTCTGAGTTCCAGAAGTCTGCAATGAAGCTGGGGTTAAAAAACATGAGCAGAGTTCTCACACTGGTAAATGAAGTATACATTTTTATGAATACAACTGGGTAGCTTTGAAATATCAACCAGTAAAAGCCTTTTGGAACTGTAAACTTTTGCAAGCAAGTATCTTGTCTGCATAAGAAGGTAGAAAGAAAAATAGCAGTGACATCTAAAACAAAAGCATTGCTCATGAAGTGGGTGGCATTGTGGGATTATCCCATTTCATCACAACCTGGTATTTTAATAATAAGCAGCAAATAGCTGCTACAAATTATATAGTCAATCTGATGTCCTGCTCTAAAATCAAACAGCAAGAAAAATAAATTAGAAATGTGTTAAGTCTATGACATTAAAATCATGTGTATCCTGTCCTCCCATTTTTTGTTGCCTTCAATTAGTTTAAATGACTTTTAAAATGCAGTTGACACATGCTTGGTTGATATGAAGCACTGACTCTATGTATTGGAAAATACCTGTACACTAGTATAGGATAATCTTGTTTAGTATTAAATGCTTAGTAATTATACAAATACATGTTAATTAAATACAGATAAGTTAATACTGTTCATACAGAAAAGAGAATTATTCAGAGTTACCTAGAGGAGAAAATAAAAATCACTTGTACTCATACCAAAAATCAAAGCACAGTAGACTTTTGTCTTTATATTCTTGTCTTTATTTCATCTTTATAAAAGGAACTATAAATATTTGTTTATAAATAGTATTGCATACCCACACTTTATTTTACTGCTAATAAAGTGAACTAGTGTTTCATTCTCCTTTGAAGTCATTGTGTTACAGTCATTTTCCATGCCATTAAATATTCTTTGAATACAGTATTTTAAAATTACCTGAATGATATTAAAATGGATTTTCCCACTGCCCAGTTTTGGGACATGTAGATTATTTGAAACTAATTTGTGAGATTCTCCTTGTGTGTGTCAGGCATGATGTCATCCAGACTCAGGTCCTAGAACTTAGTAACAACTTCAGACACCTAATACTAATATCTGATATGCATTAATTTATTTATAAGTGGATAAGTAAAAGCACTATTTTAAGTTATTTCCATATACTACTTAATCAAATCATTATAACCTTATGAAGTTCAAATACTGTTGTTATCTGTATTTAATATAAGAGTGAGCCAAGACTCAGGTTGATTAAGTCATTTGTTCCAGGTCACAGAGCTATCCAGGAAGAATCAGAGGAGAAACATAAACCCACGCAGTCTGACTCCAGGAGTTACCTTATCACATAATCCACTATCCCACTTCCATTGGTGCAAATTTACAGCCTTTTTAGTAGAGTGAGTGATCACCAAGTAACTGAATAAGATGTCTGTAATTTTCTTGCAAGAGAAACACCCACACAGCTGAGTAAATATATGCATGGTTCTATTGGCTACCAAGAAGATGTCCCTGTGCTTTCTGGGTCAGTTTGGGAGGAGAGTGTTACCTCATATGTCATAAATTTATAATAAATGTTCTGAATAAGATTGTATAAATACATGTACAAATCAAAATGTAAGCAACTGCAATAAACCACTTACTCCCAATTTTTCTTTCAAACAGACTATCTCAGTTATGAGGAGGAATGTATGTTAAAAGCATGTGATATCTTGTTTCAGCTTTAACACATGTGAACCTTGGAGGTCATCATGTCCATGAAAAAAAAAGGTGGAAAGACTGAACGTCAGTGGCACTGCTTGAACCCATCAGAAAACTAAGGTCGCTGGACACAGCTGCCGCCTGTAATCTGGAAAGAAAGATACGAATAGACACAGCAGAGATCTACTTACTGGAGCAGAAGCTGCAGGTGCCATAAATGATAATAACTCTTACAAGGTAATTTTGACAAGTTTCTGGGGTCTGAGTGTGGACTAGCATGTGAGTAAGAAACTTCTAGGGGATTGCATTCTTAGAGAGCCTCACATTTCATGAGCTTTATCACCAGGAATCATGTTCTCATCCACCACATTCTCACAGTGAAGACCCAAGAAAGATCCCTGCAAGCTGCTGGGACATGGGGAAAAAAAAGAAATAATCAAGGTAAAATACACCCAGGCAGATTTGCACTGCCAAGTCCTACCCTTCAGGAATAAAGGTGTTAACACACCTTGTACTCCATCCCACTGTAGCCTTCTTATCTTACCTAAGGGGGAATACAGAATGTGCCAAAAACCAAACTGTATTACAAACGTATGAAACAACCCATGGAAGCTTCAGGGAGGGAGGTTGCTGACCTAAGTTACTTTGGAAATTAATTGAGTCTGTAAAAGTCAAAGCAAAAGGTATTGCACATAAACACCGTATTCTATTGGATAGAACTGTTTCCCACAGGGGTTTGGGTTAACAGTTCTGAAACCACTCTGCAAGCATTCTGGATGTAAATACCTGAATGGATTGTGAATGGTTGGGTCCAGGTTTTCCACATTGAAAGATAACAAATAAAGGACGGGAGGAGGTTATGGTAATCTATGTGGCAATGGATTAGGGTTGGAAACACCACTATGAAATATTTAGTTGTCATAGATATTGTGTGTGTACGTATACAAGGCAATGAAAATATACTTACAGATGTATGCATGTGGGTTAATATATGCACATATGTTTCTCTGTTCCGTCAGCTGAGAGCATCTCGCCACAACACCCCAATAGGAGTGCATACACCTCGTCCCCAGGTCTTGGTTTCTAATGCCATTTTCCAGTACAGTGAACTGGGGATATTTGGAGAAATGTCTGATTTTATTATGAGTAGGGTGGGAAAAACATGAAATGATCCGGGAGCATCTTGCAGTACAAAAAAAGTAAGGAAGGGCTTAAAAAGCTCATAGCAATGGGGCACATCACATTGACACAGGACACAGAGCCAACTCAAAAGGCTCCCACGGGCCGAACCTCAGACGAGGTGAGCAAAGAATGAATAAAAGAGTGTGGCATTATAGCCAAAGTATGAAATAAATATGCATGAGTGAACACTGATAATAGATTATTGAATAAATAATAAGAGAGATAGACACATCTCCTGTGGAGAAGCGTTCCGCTTACCTGACGTGGATACTCACCTTCAAGAGCCTGGAGCATAACTGACAGCTCCATCAGCTCCGGGCTGTGCATAAGGCTGCCTTCCAAAGAGTAAAGGATGAAAATCAGGAGGGAAGTAATTGCACAGTGCAGAGTCATGACAAGCGCCGCTTCAGCCAAAGGATCAAGCTTAACATCAATCGTGAAAAGTCACTTTGACAGTGTAGATAATATAATATATGCCCCTGATGTGATATGATGACAATGTTCCTTTGCCTCTGTGGTCCTCCTCCCCAGAACACGTAATTCCAGCATCATCACAAGAAAAACATCAGACAGATTTCAGTGGATGCACATGCCACGGAATACCTGACCAATTAAGCAACAGCAGAACTCCTTAAAAGTATAAAGGTCATCAAAAAAAATCAATCTGAGAAACAGTCGTGGCCAAGAGAAGGCTAAGAAGTGATGAAATATAATGTAATATTCTGGATAGAGTAGTGAGACATAAGAGGGATATTAGATAAAAACTGAGGAAATCTGAATAAAGAATGGACTTTGTTAATAATAAAATACCAGTATTTTGTCACTAATTGTGACAGGTGTACCTTACTCAAGGAAGATGTAGCACAGTGAACAGACTGTGTGTGAAACCGCTGTACCATGCTCACAATTCTCTCTAAATCTAAAACTATTCTAAAAGTTTTATTGAAAAAAATAATAAACTTTAAACTTTTCCAAGAAAAACAAAGGAAAGAAAAGAATAGAATAAGAAAAGCAATAATCATAATTAGAAAAATAGGTTCAGGTTAAAACCACCTGCTCTGTCTGAATCTGTTTTCTCACAAAGCGTTTTTTTTTTTTTTTTAATTTCTTAACGTGTTTGAAATAATTACGGTAATATAATTTGAAGGCCAGGGATTTCTGCACTTCAGTCAGCAGTAGAAGAAAGAAAAATGGAAGGTATCAGATTGTAGAACAGGAAGACTCTTTCAGACAGGAATTTATTCTTAGCTGTTAAAATGAATTTTGATGATGATGTGAAATACTTGATCATGTGTAACAGTGCATGTACACAATACATGTGTGTGTATGTCCATGTGCTCTCCTATGTGTCCTGGTGTCCCCTGATGTTAAATTGGTGCCATGTGGCTATTCCTCACCCGTGGGCTCTGAGCATGGGTGATCTGTGCCGTCCTGGCTGATGCAGTTAAGAGCCAGTGCGCCTCTTCTACATCGCTTTTCCCCTTGCTGCGTGAGCATGTTGGGCTTACAGGCGTGAGCATGTTGGCTTACAGTGAAATCATAAAATTTCACTGCTTTAAGCCAGTAAGATCTCGGGATTTCTCTGTTGTAGCAACTGGCGTTAAATACTTTAAAAGAGAATGTGCCATACCAATGTGTTTTCCCCAATCATTTAGCCCATTCTAGCCAACGAAATAATATGCAGGCAGCAGATGCCAAAAATAGGATTTCTGAGCCAGAGCCTGTGGTTTTGGTTGAGGTGAGAAAAATAAAAGTCCCATTCTGAAAATGGCCTGTACCTCTTAAGAATGGCATTATTCCCAGCTCCAAGGAGGAAGGAACAATGTTTCCTGGGTGAGGAGTGATCAATTATAACCACGTGGGAGATGCATATTTAATAAATCATTATAAACCTTTATAAATGGTGATTGAACTGTCAATACACCTGGAACCAGAGCCTGACATTTCTCATGTCTTAAATTGAAAATGACTCCGTTTTATAAAAAAAGACACTAGAATGTTTATAACAGCATCGTTCACAATTGCAAAGATGTGCCCATCAATACATGAGTGGATTAATAAAATGTGGTATATGTATACCATGGAGTTCTACTCAGCCACAGAAAACAGTGGTGATCTAGCACCTCTTGTATTATCCTGGGTAGAGCTGGAGCTCATTCTATTAAGTGAAGTATCACAAGAATGGAAAAACAAGTGCCACATGTATTCACCATCAAATTGCTATTACCTAATCAACACTTATGTGCACATATGGAATCAACACTTATGTGCACATTCATCGGGTGTCAGGCTGGTGGGAAGGGAGAGGGGGGATGGGTATATTCACACCTAAGGGGTGCGGTGTGCACCATCTGGGGGATGGACATGCTCGAAGCTCTTACTCAGATGGGGCAGAGGCGGTATATATAACCTAAACATTTGTACCCCTGCAATATGCTGAAATAAAAGACTAAAAAAAAAGAAAAGAATGACTTCTTCTTTGACCTTTTGCCTGTAAATACAATAAAATATCAGAGATTTTAGGACTGTTGTTTTCCAATTCTCTCAGGGCACATACTTAGTCAATACTGTGTGCAAGACCCTGGAAGTTCATGTTTAAAAAAGTGATAGTCCCAGTCCTTGGGGAGTTCGTATTGTAAGAAACTGAGTGATATGTAACTAATTTAGGTATATTATGACTTTTGCTACCATACAGGTCTGCATAGGGCACTATGGAAACACAGAACAGGAGCATTCAGCACAGCAAAGAGGTTCAGAAAACACTTTCGGGAGATAATGACACTACTAGATAGTCTGACAAAAACCATGGAGGGAGGAATTTCAGGTTAAAGGAGATGTGGGAGCAAGAATGAAAAATCTGAAAAATTATGGCATGGTGGGAAAGGGTAATATAAATCAATTATATGAGTCTAAGCATTTGACATAGACTATTTAAACCTTTATATGCTGTTTAGTATCACTAGACTCTAAAATGTGAGATGAGGTTACATGGTATTGATCAGAGGGAAAATTCTGCTGTAAGTGATGAAGAAACAATTCTAGGCTACATTTTAGCAAACAGTATGCATCTGGTTAAAGGGCTTCTTGGAGCACAACTGTGTGGTATTATGTTGAGAAACAAGCTATTATTGAAATAGGGCATGTTGTGTGTACCTGTGCTTCTGATCCTGCACTGCACATAAAACTTTAATTTTGGAAGAGGTTGGCATATGTTTCAAAGCTTGGAATCATTTTAAGAAATGTTATGACCTATTTGGTTAGATGTTGAGCTTGCATTAATTTTATTTTATTTTTCTTTAAATATGATGTGGAATTGGAACCTTTAAAAAGTATAAAACAAAAATTCAAACAAATGAGAAAAAGAAAAATGAACAAATAACAAGAATGGACAATTAAACAAAGAAGAAATGCAAGGCAGCATTAAAGAAATGAAAGATAGGCCAGGCGCGGTGGCTCACACCTGTAATCCTAGCACTCTGGGAAGCCGAGGCAGGTGGATCGTTTGAGCTCAGGAGTTCAAGACTACCCTGAGCAAGAGCGAGACCCTGTCTCTATTTAAATAGATAGATAGATAGATAGATAGATAGATAGATAGATAGATAGATAGATAGATAGATAGATAGAAAGAAAGAAATTAGCTGGAAAAAATTAGGCAGGCATGATCGCACATGCCCGTAGTCCTAGCTTCCTGGGAGGCTGAGGCAGGAGGATCACTTGAGCCCAGGAGTTTGAGGTTGCTGTGAGCTAGGCTGATGCCACAGCACTCTAGCCCAGGCAACACAGTGAGACTCTGTCTCAAAAATAATGAAAGATGTTCAAGCTTACCAACAAGTATGTGTGAATTTTAATGACAAAATTAATATACACTATTAATATCTGTATAAAAATATAATACTCATATTGAGAGATGAACATTCACATCTGCTGCTATGGAGGCTCTGAATTACTACAGATGTTTTCAAGGCCACTTTTACAATACAGGGTTTAGTTTACCTTTGAGTATTAGTATAGCTGGTAACTGTTTTTTTTTTTTTTCTTCCTTTTGCTTACCTGTA